ACCCAAACTGTATCCCCCCCCCCCCCCCCCGCAGTTACAGCGGCCTCTCTGGCCTCGGCGATTCTATGAACTAAGTATAAGCTCCACCTTTTCCTCCCAAAGTGGAGTAAGTAGGAACGAAGAATTTCCGGAACTTAAGAACGCGGACCGCGGGGTGGGGTGGGGGAGATTTTCTCGGTTGAACGCTGTTTCGACGCGTTTTTTGATGTGGAATCATGTCGGGAGTTGGTCTGCTGTGTCGTGTAGGATTGCGACGGTTCGTACCTGGAAGCATCCTTAATTCAGTTCTCGGGGCAGCGGAGCCTGCGGAAGTTGGAGTTAGACGGCAGTAAGTCTGCGGCGGGAGCTGAGAGACTTGTTTTGCTACACGTATAATTCTTTTTAGGTGTCCTTTTGTGCTCAAACAGCTCCTCCCCCACGCCAGTTCTGCCTTTCGCTTAATAATAATAAGAAAAGTAAAACTCGCAACCATCACTCGTATTTACGGATGATAGAGTGGGTTAAAGCTTTTCTACCTCCAGGAGCTGCACGTGAGTCAAGCTGGGGGACAGTTTTAATGCGGAGACGAGTTTCAAGAAAGGCATTGAACAGTGTTGAGTTTAGTCATCGGCTCTTCAAAGCCAGTAGTATTCCCCAAGTAGTGTTGCCTATAATGCTATCAAATTAGTTTTCCTCTTTTCTCTCCTTTACGATCCCCATTTTCGCTGGGATAACATTCGTGAAGAGAGTAAAATAATTGGGAAGAATACCTGGTAAGGATGCGCATGATAAAGGTAACAGGAAACTGAGCCCAATTTCCAGAAAATTAGCACCCTTAACCAGGTTTGCATATTTATCCCTGTCACTAGTTGGAAATTTGTAGCAGTTGGCAGCATGGGACAATTTAATAAAAAGGCACATTCTTGATGCAGATAAGTGGGAAAAGTTATACAATTTGTAAATAATGCAGCCTAAATCTTTACCCCATATAAACGTCCAGCGTCTCCTTATTCATCCAAATGGAACAGGTTTGTCAGTATAATTGTACCATACACTTGATCTTTAATATGCTAACATACATATTTGAAAGACTTAGGTTTATACCTACATGGCTGAATCCTTCCTAATGCTTCAACTTCTCAATTTTTCAGAGAGAGAGAGAGAGAAATTTTATTTTGTTATAATTAAAATTAATTTACATAGAATCAGACCTACATTTGATGTTTCTCCGTCCATTTATTTTTTCTAACCCTGCTTCCTTTTTGAAATGTAGCTTCTAGTACCATAGCTCTTAAACTGTTGAATCTAATTACTCTTTTTACCAGTCTTGAATAATGATATTACCCCCCCTTCCAAAAAAATTTTTTAATACCATCATTAGTCCCAGATTGGATCCTCAAGTTACAAATGAGAAATTAAAATTGCTCCATAACCTCCAGGATATGCTGGTTTGGTGTAGTGTCTAAAAACCAGGAAAGTTTATGTTCTAGTGCTGCCTCGGGCATGAAGACAATGGATTACCTACAGCTGGTCACTTTTTCTTTCTTCTAGGAAAGAGCCAATGGCAAGATGCTTCTGGGAAAAAAACCCACTGCTCTGTCAGCTGATAATAGCTCTAAAAACCTAACCCTCCCCAGTTATAGAATTTTCTTTTAGGATATAAACTGCTGAGGTTTCCTAGTCATGTATTATGATCATTATTTCCTGACCTTTTCTTTATTATTGGTAGGTTGGACATAAAAGTAACAAATCAAGGTTATTGCACTGGAAGTTTGAAAATGCAAACATTCATTTTTCTGAACTCATTTTTCTTGTCTTTGGTAGGGGTCTGTGGTTTGTCACAGTTCGACATATTATTTACAATAGCACATGGTGGGATGAGCAACTTTCAGAAGAAAATGTTGAGTTCCTTAAGAAACTTTCAACAGAAGAATATAAAACTCAAACTGCTAGTAAACTTTGTCCTCTGAAAGATGAGCCATGGCCTCTGAACTCATGGGAGCCAGGTTGGTATACAATAAATTCAAGGGATAAAGAAAAGGGTTATTTTGGATATATCTGATTGGATATATATCTAATTCCTTTATTAAAACATATTTCAAATGAATGAATTAGGTCTACTAGAATTGCATCTTATAATTCTGTTCTTTTACTTCCACTTTGCTAAGTTTATATATTTTACAATAATCAGTGAAAGTCTATTCCAATTATTGGCAAGTCAGATAAAAGTTATTTCAGCAAGTCCAACTCTGGGAAATTCTTATGGATATCTCCATTATAAAAAACTCGTTTGCTGCCTAATTATAGAAAGAAATTACAATGAAATCAATAAAACACTAAAGACAGATAGTGAACTGCAACAGACTAGATGGAAGGAAGCAAGAAGTATCACACTCCCTCGCCAAAGATTGGGTAAAGAGTCACGCCTTCATGCCTCTTTTAAATAATAGCAGAGTGTGGGCCATCTGGCTCTCATTGCAGACTGCAGATGCACTTCCAAGATCCTGAAAGATGATATTGTTTAATTGAAGAAACCTGGTTTGTGCTAACCCTGCAGGATGAAATAAGATGAACAAGTACAGTAATCCTTCAAGTAATCTGGCCGTTATTCCATAGTGAGGTACAAATGCCAGTTATATCTATAGGATTAATGCACTGCCTAGATGATCACTCTACAATGGGAGGGACATAGTTTTGTTAAATGTATAGCGAAGAATAGCATTGTAGTTATAACACAGTAACATCACATGTTAATTGCTCCTGCATGTTTAAAAATATTAGACATTAAAAAAAGCTGACATTACTTGTTTTCATAGTATGTCCAGTGTAATTTAATCTAAATATTATCTATCAGATAGTAGTAGCTGCCACTTGAATAAGTTGATTGTGTTGCAAGATACTGTTTGTAGGATCTGTATATGCTGTGAATTAATGTAAGAATTAATCTGTAATGATTTTCTGAACGCCAATAGGCTTGAAATTTAAGAAAGGATTGTTTTATTCTTTTATTCACAGGTTCTAAAAGAGTCGGTATTATTGCAGTAAAGTTGGGAATGATGCCATTATGGACTAAGCAGGGTAAAAAAATACCTGTCACAATGCTTCAGGTAAGGTAGAGAACACATACTGTATTTTTCGGAGTATAAGATGCACCCGAATATAAGACGCACCAAGGTTTTGAAGAGGCTTTAAAAAAAAAAAAGTAGGTAGGTAGATAGACGGAGAGAGAATTACAGTAGGTGTGGGGAGAGAGAGTAGTTAGGTAGGTAGGTAGATAAAGGGAGAGAGAGATAAGGAGAGATAAAGTGTTGGTAGGTAGGTAGGTAGAGGGATAGAGAGAGAGAGAGAGAGAGAGAAATATAGTAGATAGGGAGAGAGAGTAGGTAGGTAGAGGGATAAAGAGAGAGAAATACAGTAGGTAGATAGGTAGGGAGTATACAGTACAGTAGATAGGTAGGAAGAGAGAGAGAGAGTAGTTTGGTAGGTAGATAGATAAAGGGATAGAGAAATAGAGAAATACAGTAGGTAGGTAGGGGGAGAGAGACTAGGTAGGTACGTAGAGGGATAGAGAGAGAAATAGAGAGAGAAATAGAGTAGGTAGATAGGGAGAGAGAGTATGTAGGTAGGTAGAGGGATAGAGAGAGAAATAGAAAGAGATAGAGATAAATACAGTAGATGGTAGGGGGAGAGAGAGTAGTTAGGTAGGTAGGTAGATAAAGTGATAGAGAGAGAGAAATACAGTAGGTAGGGAGAGAGTAGTTAGGTAAGTAGATAAAGTGATAGAGAGAGAGAAATACGGTAGGTAGGTAGGTAGGGAGAGAGAGTGTAGGTAGGTAGGTAGATAAAATGATAAGAGAGAGAGAGAGAAATACAGTAGGTAGGGAGAGAGAGTGTGTAGGTAGGTAGAGGGATAGAGAGAGAGAAATACAGTAGGTAGGTAGGGAGAGAGTGTGTAGGTAGGCAGAGGGATAGAGAGAGAGAAATACAATAGATAGGGAGAGGGAGAGTAGTTAGGTAGGTAGGTAGATAAAGGGATAGAGAGAAAGAGAAATAGAGAGAGAAATACGGTAGGTAGGGAGAGTGTCTGTAGGTAGGTAGGTGGATAAAGAGAGAGAGAGAGAGAAATACATTTGATAGGTAGGTGTTTCTGCTAGCACAGCACTTGATCAATGTCATTCTCATCAATCAGTTAAATATTTTTTCCAAAAAGAAAAAAAAGGTTTTGCACTCTGCAAACCTCCCCAAAATGGCCTGTTTTTCACAAAAATGCCCCCCCCCTTTTAAAGGCATGAATAGCCTTGGGGGGCTTGCAGAGTACTCCTGGGGGGTGGGCCCCGCAAAATCAAGCAATAAAAGCCCCCTTTTTCATGAAAACGGGCCTGTTTTTTGTCAATAAAATTGCATGCATAGCCTTATGGAGGCTTGTAGAGTGCTGCAGGGGACTTGGGGAGCAAAAAGTGGCCTGTTTTTTGCTCATTTCTGCCCTCCCCAGCCACCAGGAGCTCTGTGAAAGCCTCCATAAGGCAATGCATGGCCATTTTGATGAAGGGGCGGGGCTTTGGAAGGCAAAAAATGCTGTATTCGATGTATAAGATACACCCAGATTTTCAGCCTCTTTTGAGGAAAAAAGGTGCATCTTATACTCTGAAAAATACGGTAATAATTATATTTAATTTGTTATGTATTGCACTTCACATAAAAATTTCAATACAAAACTTTTTTGTCCAGGTGGAAAAAAATAAATTCAGAAAGAGAACTTTGATAAGTGATCAATAAAAGTGCAATCAATAAATCAATGAAATGATAATAGTGTAATAATACTTACCTACCCAGCAGGATTTTTAGAGTAGAGCATGATTTTTAGAGTAGAGGGTGGCTGGATTTTCTTAAAAGCTTAAATGCTGGTGATGTTTGTTCACAGTGTGCTAGTGTATGCTGCCTGATAGTTCCAGCTTGGTCTCCATCTCAGAAGCACTACAATATTCATGAATTTTCCAAAAAGAAAACAGTCAACATCATCTCTGAAGTGGGATTTTATATTATGTTGTTTTTAAACAATCTAAGCATTTCCCCAACATTAATTCTTTCAGATTCTAGTTTGCAAAGAGAATTACAAAACCTCATGTTGTAGAAGCTAATAATAAACCATTTTTGTCTTGCAGAAGGCTATTAAAGCCTGGTTTTCCTCTCATGCATTTGGTCTAGTGTTTAAGGCACTAGGTTAGATAACAGAAGATCATCAGCTCAAGTCCTGCCTTAGCCCTTGGGTGGCTAAGCCAGTCTTAGCCCAAGCCACCTCATAGGATTGTTGTGGAGAAAATAGAAGAAAGATGTCTGTTGGATATATTTGCCAAAATAATAAAGCTGGAACACAAATAAAAATAATAATAAATGTGTATCTGTTTTTATGGAAATGGTTTATAGTGCCCCAGTTTTCCTTATTTCTTTTATTTGCTTATTTTAATTGAAGGTTTTTTATGTTGATTTTAGAATTGTTTGCTATCCAAAGTTATGCATTTAATATAAATAAAGTTGTGCACACATTAACATATAAGAATAGAATTTCACATCTTATTATCTAGAATTAGATGTAAAACAGATTGTTGAAGCCAATATTTTTTCAAAAATTTAAGACTAAATCTAATTGTCTTTTTCTTCAACTAATATGTGATAAACCTGAATAATTTCTTGTAGGTTCAAGACTGCCATGTTATTAAATACACACCCAAAGAAGAATTTGATGGGAAAACTCCCAGTCTAACTGTTGGGGGGAAAAATGTGTCTGAATTCCATGTAAGTCTGATTTATTTTTCTTTTTGGAGTGGGACAACAATTTTTATTGCATTATCCAAAGGAATGCATTTTTAGAAAGAAGATATCTTTAAAATCTAAAAGACTGTCTCTTTTTTTGTCTTTTTAAGGAAACTTTTATTTCCTTGTCATAATTTTTTGAAGATAATCCTAAACCTTAATACATTTTTTCATGGAACATTTATGAAGCTAAGACATGTTTGCTTTTGTGTTCTAGTTCCTTTAGTGTTTTGTTTATTTTGACTAATGATTAAACATAGTATATGTTTATCATTCATAAATCATGCCATATTGGGCTATGAAAGAAGGTTTTATTCATTTTACAGTCTTTTTACATGCATATATAATTGTATGCTATACATAGTCCTCAACTTGTCTGCTTCAGTTATTTGCTAAGTGAAAATAAGCTAACACAACTCCTACATGGTACAAAATTAAACATCTTTCTGTAATTTTGAGTATGTAATTGTTTATTGTTTTCTGTAGATTCAAAATAAGAAAACATGACAAAAACAAGACAAAAGTTTGGATAGCTTGCAATTAGTGTTTTTAACATCTCAGATGAGTTGTTTCCTATAACCAACTACGAATATTTTTAGTTATTATTTTCAGTTATTACCCATTCTTTTTTATAGAACTAGCTCAGAAAACATATATGTACTGCATGCTTGAGATCTACAGATTTTCAGTAGTACTCAAATCTGGAGAATGTGAAGTCCATTCCAAATTTTTACTTTTACAGCTAGTTCTCATTGAACAACCACTCATCCAGGAACCATTCAAAGTTACTACAACACTGAACAAAAGGAATTGATGATGGGTCTTTGTGGTAGCAGCCATAGGAGCACTTGTTACTTGATCATGCTTTGGTTGCTTGACAACTAGTTCCGTTATAATGATCATAGTATCCCACAGTCATGTGATTGCTTGTTGGAAGCCAGCAGTAGGAACGCAAATGGCAAAGGCAATGGGAAAGGTGGCAGGCAGTCACAAATGGTGATTATTACATTATCTGTAATTAGTACAGAATTTGCCTAAAAGGCAACTGGGATTGTTTCAACTGTTTGTTTTAAGTTAGCAGGATCATATGACGTTTTATTTTACAATCCCCAGTGACCATCATTTAGCAAGGACTACCTACATGTACTTCATGATTGATTTGGACCTTTTTTAGCTTGCTGCTTTGGTGAAACAGTCAACTACAGTTTGTATGTGGTTTCTTCTCTGACTAGGGGATATTAACTTTTGGGTATATTGATATTTAATTGAAATTATTTTTCCTACCTCCCGTGTAGTATTTTGTACCATATACATATAGTTCTCAAATTATGACCATAATGGGGATTGTACATCAAGATTCTAAATTGGGTCATCCACATGACCAACCTAATTTTATGACCCTTTTTGTGGCTGTTATTATGAAAATGCTGTGATTGTTAAGCAAATCTATTTTTTTCTATGGGGCAATTGTCAAATTGTCAAAAACCAGAAGTAAATATTAGGAAAACCATTGTAAAACACTGCCATGTAACTACAGGAGGCTGCAAATGGATATAAACACCAGCTGCTGAGCACCCAAAGGTTAGTTAAGTGACTGCAGGACTTTGAATCTGGGTCATAAGTATCCCCAGATAGGTCCATTATACTTACTAAGCAACAGATTATAAATTGAGAATTATCTACAGTTTATGTTTATTTGGGGATTGGTTGAAACTCAAAATTTGACCATGGGGCCTGAAACCTGCATACAACTGCGTGTAGGTGTGAGCTCCAAGGCCTTCCTTTGCGTACCAATATTCTGCTTTTTAAAATTTAATTGGTTAACACAGTTTACAACAATGAAACAAATGTCTGTAATTCCACCTATCATTTAGTGAACCAGAGATTGGTAAATTCCATTCTTCATATATTAAAAGAAATATCTTTTTGAGAACAAATTAGAATAAAATGTAATTGATATAGTGCCAATGAGTTAGTAAAACACTTCTGATTTCCATTCTACAACCAATATTTTTGTGCTGCTTTAGTATATTATCATGGACTTAGTGCCTGATTTTCCTCTATTTTTGCATTGATGTTTTTATATAAGTTACCTTAATTGTACATTAAATAGAATCAATTCTTAAATGGCATGAAGTAGTGTGCATTTTGTTTTCTGAGAGGGATCTGAAATGCCCCTATCTGTGCATTTTGCATGAAACAGCTACATAGAATTAAAAGGCTTTTTTAAAGAGAAAGAGACAGAAAAAAGTATGAAAGGAGATTCTAGAAGAACAGAATTATGTGTCTAGATGGCCAATTTGTACTTTTAATAATTCTTTGATCTAATGATCTTTTGAATACATTTTCCTAGATTAAATCATGCTATCCCAAATTTACAGATCACAGTGACTTGATTTGCCAGTATATTAGGCCAGAAACAAGTCTTGATTACAGTGAAGTTTAATCAAAAGTATGGATACTCTTAATGTTAGAAAATCTTCTGAGGAAATCATTTAAATTATTTTATCTTTAATTTCCAAAATGATCTTGTGAGATTTTTCTGCAGGATTATAGAGGATTAATTTTCTGGCAATGCAATTGATCTTTAAAATTAATCTGAAAGATCAGGCATTTTTACAAGCAAATCTTTTGACAGTCATTGGTTCATGGTAATTATCCAAGTATGGCACTGCTGTCAGTCATGTAAATTGTTTACATGCTGTCATCATGTAAATTGCTTTCTGAAACAATCCATTTAACCACAAAATTTCACTATGTTGATTTCTTGTATTTTCAGTTTTCATTCATTGTTCATTCATTTAGTTACTATAATAAGGAAGCTCAGAGGAGCTTTTGAATTGTTCCAGAATAAAATGTTGATAAATTATATGTTCTTTTATATATTGTCTATTAACTTAATCAGGTTGCTAAAGTTGATTTTCTTCTTGTGAATTTAAGCTAAAATTCCTGACTTTATAGAGTCTGTCTTCTAAGACTGCCATTACAATATTGTCCTGAACTTATATCTCATATTTTATTTTATAAAAATATATTATCACTTATCCAGCACCTGGATTTTAGGAGTTAGTGGAATTTTAGTTGCGAAGAATTTTGAATATATAATTGAACTGTATGTATCTCAGTACTGCATAAACGGCATATTAATACAAGGTGTGTTGCAGCTATAGTGTACTACTATGTCATATATATAGATTGCACAGAGAAATCAACTATTCTTTAACATAGAGGCTAGAACATTTTCAGATCCTATTGATTGATGCAGATCACTTTTTCTCAAAAACTTCCCTAATCTCATAGGAGTGTCAAACATTTAAATGTTTGAAGATACAACTCCATTTCAACTTTGGCCAGCATATTGTATAAAAATTATAATAAAATAATCTTCATAATACTATACAAAGCAATATGCAGATGCTATCATCTTACAAATGAGATAGCCTTCAAGATGATCATAATCCAGTATACCACAAGGTCTATAAAAAGAGTCCGGTTTTAATGGTTCATCTAAAAAAAAGGAAAATTAGGTGGGGTCTCAAAAAAATTATAGAAAGATTTTGTTCAGAGGGCAGGCACTACAATAAAAATTGCATTCCCTGCTTCTCTTTCTCTCCCTCCCTCTCTCCTTCCCTCCCTCCCTCCAAACACAGAACTCTTGCCTGATTGACATTTTCTTGACATTCTTTTTGCTGTTTCTATAGTGGTTATAATTTTTACAGGGCTGGGTTGCTAGCCTGATATCTAACCCTCCTTTTTTCTCATTTGCACTTGGGATTGGCAATGGCAGAGTTAATTTCTGATTACCCAAAATGAGCTGAATAAAAGATGGTTTGAACACTACCAGGAAACTCTTTACCAGTCAAATCCACCTGCTTTATACAATTTAAATGAAGAGTATTCCCAACAAGAGATGGTAAAACTGGTGAAATTACAATTGAAGAAGTAAATATGGTAATTAGAAGCCCTAACAACAAGGCAGCTGGCTTTGATAAGATATGTGACAATACAATTTTAATGGGTTTCTGTATACTTTATGGGATATAAGAAGTGTGCCTTCTTATTGTGGCAAGATTCTATTGTGGTATTGCTTTTAATATTGGGTAAGCCAGTTTTTTTTCCAAAGTGACTATTTGATAGCATCCTTTTCATTTCTGCTCCCACAAGTGCAAAGTATGAAGTGAGAATATCAGACCTGTATGTATCAGTATGCTTTTTATTCATAGCATACTCCAGGAATACTTATTATTAATACTTATTTATGTAATATTTATTATATGAAAATCTATTATGTCATAGGTTTATAATTTGTTCATTTTCATGAAAAGAAAACATTTTAATGAATGCTTTATTGTAAATATAGATGGGCTCTTAGGACATACAGCTTTTGTTAGCACAGATAGAATAACTAATACAGTAACTCAAAACATTTTACATTTAAAGTTTTAATAAAGGAATTAAGATTATTGTACTGGGGCTTCGAGGGGAGGAGCTGCCGCCGTCGGGAGCTCAATAAAGCTCCTGCCAGGACTCTGGTTCGTATATCTTATA